TTAGGATTTGTCGTTTGTAAGGGTTGTAAGGTGTCTTTTTTGAGTCGCTTGAGTTTGTTTAAAGTTTGTAAGTGTCTTTTTATATGAAATGTAATAGTTTGTTCTTTCTATTACTTAGTTCCTAAGTCTCTCCCTTGTTGTTTTTTTTAGGAGATCAAGAATTTCTTGGGGTCCATCTCCCCAGGGAATTTTTGCTCGCATCAACAGATCTCCCTTTGTACAACAACCTCTCCCTCTCTAGAGAATAGCCAGGGTGGCTATTCTCATCCTTCAGTAAATTTGCCCTAATTATCCCCAGCTCCTCATCTCGCACACTCTCCTTCTTAATGGCCCCCTAAATCCAGCATCAGGGGTATCAATACGGCCATCACCTAGAGCTCCCCCATACGTCTAAACAAGGCGTCCGCTACTTTGTTCTCCATCCTGGACCTATATTGGATTTCAAAGTCATATCTCAATAACTTTGATAGCTATCTCTGGTGCTCTTCTATCACCATCCTCTATTCCAACAAGTATTTGAGGCTTCGCTGGTCCATCCTAACAATGAAATGTAAGACCCAACAAGTAAGGCCGTCACTTCTGGATGGCTAGCACAATTGTCATCAACTCCCTCTCGTAAACTGAATTCATTATGGCTCTAACTGTCAATACCTAGCTAAAGTAAGCAATGGGCCGGTGGCTCTGCATGAGCACTGCTTCCAATTTATATCCTAATGCATCCCTCTCTACTACAAAAACCAAACTGAATTTTGTTAAGGCCAAGACCAGTACAATGTTAATAGCCTTCTTCAAACTCTCAATAACTACTATTGTCGCCCCCCCCCCTCCCCAACCCAAAATATTTCTTCAACTGTTATGTTAATGGCCAGGAAATGGTGTTATAACCCCTCACGAATCTCTAGTTGGATCCTGTCAGACCCAGAAAACCCCTCAGCTCCCTCAAATTCTTTAGTAGAGACCGTCTCATCATGGCCTCAATCTTATCCTAATTAGCGGTCCACTTCTTCCTAAGATACTACACATTAGCGATCCACCTCTTCCTGCTCAAAACAACACTTCTTCAAAATGGCTCTCAGCTGCTACTCCTGTAACACTTCTAGGACCGTCCTTAAGTGCTCCCAGCGTTCCTCACCTGACTTGTTTTACACCTAGATATCATCAAAGAAAACAAGCATGAATCTCCTTATATAGGGTCGGAACACCTTGTTCATGAGGGACTAGAGTGTAGCTAGGGCATTGGTGAGGCCAAAAGGCATCACCAAGAATTCATAATGTCCCTCATGCGTTCTGAAAGCAGTCTTGGGAACAACTTCTCATTTCATGAGGATATGATGGTACCCGGACTTCGGATCTATCTTGGTGAAGATAATTGTCCCACTCAATTCATCCAATAGTTCATCTATTATTGGGATGAGAGGCTTATCTGGCACTATTTTCTTACTCAAAGCTTTGTAGTCCATGCAGACCCTCCAACTCCCATCCTTTTTCTTAACCAGTAAGACTGGACAAGAAAAAGAGCTCACACTAGGCTTGATAATCCCTGCCTCCACCATTTGTCATATCAATTTTTCAATTTCATCCTTATAAAATTGAGGGTAATAATATGGCTTGACCCTGATGGGTGACACCTCTCCCTCGGGGTGATGGCATGCTCATGCTCCCTTGGTAGTGACAATCCTTGAGGTGACTAAAAGACCTCAGTGAAGTCTTGTATCAGCAGTTGTACTGGAAACGGGATGTTTCCACCCTCCTACAATCTAATCCCCTCAAATCTCTGTAACTTCACCAGGAAACCTCTTCCCACCTCTTGTATGCTCCTCACCATGGTTTTGAGGGACAATATGGCTTTAGATAAACCCTGCATCTCCCCTGATCACTACTCTTCTTCCCACCACCACCAGCTCCATGGTTAGTGCCCTCCAATTAACCTTGGTATTCCATAAGGTCTGCAGACACTTCATACCTATGATGACATCAGAGCTGCCTAACTCCAATGGAGGAAGTCCTCCCTTACCTGAATCCCCTGTATGGTCAGCACTACTCCCCTACAGATGCCCTTGCCCATCTCCACCTTCCCCGTACCCATCATCACTCTCCCTGTATCCAATAAAGTCACCCCCAAGTGGTCCACGACTGGTTGAAGATGAAATTATGGGTAGCTCAAATGTCGATCACACTACCCACCTCTCGATCTGTTATTTTTCCCTTCAGCTTCATAGTATTGTTGGAACTCAATTAATATGATTTAGGATGTTAAGCCTAATTAATTGTCCCAAGGCTAACCAAGAGGGGGGTGAATTGGTAATTTAAAAATTATACTTCTACTCTTAGATTTTAGAAAACCTTTTTAATTATTAATGCAAGTTAAATCTAAAGTTAAAAAAAAAACTTTTCAACAAGAGTAAATAACTTGCAATGAAATTAAATGCGGAAGAAAAATCATAGGCGGTGAGAACCTGAAGAGTTCGATCTCTGCACCTGTGCCCCAGGGTATACTTCTCATCGCATCCGAAGCATAATTCCTTTTCCCTCTTTTCTTGCACCTCCCTCTCAATCAGCTTTTTTAAATTTCTCACACTTCCTCCTCCGACAAGCTTCTCCCTTGGAGTCTTATGAAGGTTGCTCGTTGTAAGCCCCTTGGGTGCTAAGAAAGTGGTGGTTATCCTGTATGAGCCACCTGAATTGCCATCTTTGGCTCCCCTCTCCTGGTAATTCTGATCCTCCACCAATTGAGCCAGCACCATAGCATTTCCCAAGTTTCGAGGCCTCATGACTCTCACTGCTGCTCAGATCTCTGATTTGAGTCCCTTCATGAAATTTTTCTCCAGAATAGTCTCAGATAGCCAATTCAATCGGCTCGCCAGGTACTCAAATCATACATAATATTCTGTTAATGTGTCTTCCTATACTAAGGCAAAGAACTGTTCATAGAAGTCCCCTCACTTGCTAGTTCGAAAATGTTCCAATAAACACTCTTTGAACTACCTCCTACTCCGCATAAGCTGCCTCATGTCTCTCTACTGGTACCAAGCCAACGCCTTCCCTTCCAAACATAGCCCAACTGTCGTCAATTTCTCCTTCTCCGTCAACCCATTGACATATCTCTCTACCTTGTAAATCTACCCATGTGCATCCTCCCCTTCAAAGATGGGCATCTTCAGTTTCCAAACCTTCGGATCTCCTCCATTTCCCATGATTCCTCCATAATTTTCCCTTCCCCAAGTGGGTGGTCCTCCCCAAGTGTCATAATCCTCCCTTCCACGTTCATACCCAAACCCTTCTTCAATTTTCTCCTCCTTCCTTCAAAATCAGCACCTCTCCGGCTGTAATAATCTCCCTCCTTTCTAACCCAATCAGAACTCCTTTGCTCATACCCCCATATCAACACCTCTCCCCATACCTTCCATCTCTCTCTTCCCTTTGGAAATGTTCCAAATAGAGTCTTATCCCCTCTCCCTCTACGATCTCCACATTATTTTCATCCCTACGAATTTCAGGATTCGTATTTCTACCTACCGGCCCTCTTTCCTCTAATGTCGCCATTTGGTTTTGATTATCCTATATCTTCTTCACCATCTCCTGAAGAATCGAGAATTTGCCTTCTATGGAAATTCTATTATCCACCGTCGCTTTGATTTGGCAAATCCCCCTCTAAACATTCTTCTAAAGAATTCATTGGCTGTCATCGATACTCGGATCTTTGTTAGACTCAAATCCGGATTTTGACCCAAAAAACAATAAAAAAACCATTGTTCAGAAGAGAAAACTGCTGCAAGAAAATGCCAAAAACAACCTAGAAAGCGGCTCTAATACAAATTTGATAGGAAACACTTATAGAATTCAAGTGACACTTATCAAGGATGGATTTCCAACGATATCTCTCCACAATCTTCCAAGTAAAAAACAAAAAAATAGTGAGAAAACCAGTAATAATTATGCAGACGGAAAGAAAATACCATGATACAAGTGATTCTCAATTCGAGAGGAGGATCTAGTTCCCTCAATTCTCTAATGTCGTTAGAGCCCAAGACGCCAAGAACCAATAGGAAATTCCAGCAAAAATACAAGATAAACATAACCCTAATGCAAAACCTAATTTAAAGAACTCACAATAATCCCCTCCCAAAAGACTAAACAGCCCTTGCTTAATTCAAATCTCCCCTTGCCGCCCCTTCATCTCTCCTCTCTATGTTGTGGACCCCGCGTGGGGGTGGAAGCAGCAGGCGGAGAACCGTCCCTTTGTCTAGGACCGACTAGATTGGCCCAGGTTGGACCGGTTTAAGAGGTGCCTGAAGATCTAATGATAAATGGTTCAATTTAGTCCTCTCAAAAAACTACCATATTAGAGTCTAGCTCCATGTGCTCTATATATCCGAGGTCTATCAATTTCTTCATTGATCTAACTCTGCACTTGAATTAGATTTTCATCGCGCCAGTTGCAAAAATGGAAAAATAACATAAATGCTGATTTTTTCCCATAATTCAGTCTACACACCACCAAGTAGTATATAAAAGTGTGCTTAGACATATATTTTGTGTATACATGAAATAGGAACAGGCCATTGAGATTCATATCCACAAAAAAGTAATAATTTTATTGAGAGTGGATGTGAACCTTGACATATTTTTAACCAACTGAAAGTATAATAATGCATAGAACACATCTTGGCTAGCTAATTCCCATTAATAAATACTTATTGAATACAAACCTTGAAAAAATCTATTTGAAGAAAAAGCATGATTATGCCGTTCATATCACTATCTTAAAAAATATAGCAAGGTATTCGAGGTGAATGTTCTTTAACAAAGAATATCGCAAATAGGTAACAAAAGTTCAACATATTATTAGTAAATGACCTTCAGATATAATTTATTAATTAATGATCATACAACACAAAAATTTACAGAAAAACAAGGTACGGACCAATAATAAAAGAATATAGATGGCAAGAATATCATACAACAAAGTTCAAATTATCTAGAAATGAACTGAAACTCACGAGATCTTTCTTCACTTCTTCAATTGACTTAACAGACTCTTCTCCAAACTTCTCAGCATAGTACCTTTCTTTATATCCCGGTTCCCCCAATTTGATCTGGAAAAAGGGGAAGCTACAATAAGATCAAGCAATATAACAGTACAAAGTAATAACTTAGCCTAAAAGCATACAGCAATGAAATAGATCTCAGAGCAGGATGATTCAACATTGTAGTATTGATACACAGATGAACTAGCATCATGTTCGTTAGAAAAATAATAACAATTGGCCTAAGTTGATATGAAATTAGAAGTACCAAGAAATGATGTTCTTGGGCATTTATTCACCAAATTCATTCAGCTCAATTACTGCTCAACGAACTAAATGAGTTACAAGTCGCTTCTTCACAAATTATTCAAAAAGCATATCATTTGCCTCCATTGAACCAATAGAAATTTTATTTTTAATCTCTCGATGTGATGCATTCTTTTCTCTCATGGCATCTCTTTGAAAGTCCAAAATCATAGAACATGGATTATGACAATTTAGCATAAGGTGTAGACCACATGTCAAAAAAAAAAAGAAACAGAAAAAAGGAAAAAAATAAAGGTTTTTGTAATGTTTTAGCGAGTTGTCTTAAATTAAGAAGTTGCTCATCTAAGATTAGCAAAGGTGCTTCAGAGGTGTTCCAAGGATCTCACCTTTTATAAAATAAATTAATTAGGAAGATCTAAGGCACTCAGGTGGTGCCTTAAAGCACTTTTACATCTCAAGCGCAAAGGCTAGTTATATTTATTGTAAAATCGGTGCCCTCAGATGAATGGTTCAGGCTTCTTGTAAATTAGTAAACTTATAATGAAGGTAAAAGTTGAGCCAACTATATTTAAGTAAAAGACAGCTATAATGTATTATTCAATGATTGGGATTGAAAAGGATTGTGTTCGTAAATCTTTTCAGTAAAAGACAGCTATAATGTATTATGCAATGATTGAAATTGAAAAGGATGGTGTTCACAAATCTTGAAAACTTGGATGCAAACAAATGAAATCATATAGGAAAATATATGAAAGGTGACTTGGCTTAATGTCTAGCCATTTGGTAGAACATTAAAATCTTAGTGGAGTTATTTTAGTTCTTCAAGAGAAATTTTAATACATTTGAATGAATATCTTATTTATGTTGTGAACATATATCTATAGTACTATTATAAAAGGGGCTTGTGTTTCTTCTCATATAAAATTCTAGCCCACCATTTAATCTCCTAATAACAAATCTTAGCCTTTCATTCCTATTATATTTATAAAATAAATTTTTAAAAACCCATTAATGTTCACAGTTTTCTTTGCGTAAAATTTATATATTAGATTTCTAAAAGTTATTATTCAATCAATAAAATTGCAGTTATATATAAAATATATAAATAGTCATAAGAATATCAATGGTTTATCCCTGTTTTAAATTATAATCATTGAATAAATTGGTCATAACTCATTTAATATTGCATTATAGCTAGAAAATGATGTAGGCAAAGGAGGGTCAAATCAAACCCAAAAAAAAAATTGGTTTTGATTTCCCTTGAGCTTACTAGCTCAATAAATTTTGAGCTTGAATTTAGCTCATTTATGAGTTGGTTTTTAGTTCATTTATTGAACAAAGAATTAGCTCATTATTAGCTAGGTTTCAATTCATTAATTATCTTAATTATGTAATTTTTATTTATAGTTTTTTATCTCTTAAATTTTAGTTTGTCCCTTGGGATTCCAAAATGGCTTTTGGAATCCCTATGTTGGTTGTTTTCCGTGCTTGGCTCCTTGGCTTCCACGGGTAGCTGTTTCTGTGCCTTGGCTCCTTGGCTTCCTCGGTGGGCTGTTGGTTTTCCGTGCTGGATGGCCTTTCCCGTGCCCTGGTGCCTCGGTTCCGTGCTTGGCCTCTTGGGTTTCCGCGGCTGCCTCTTCGGGTTTTGGCTGGGCTGTTTTCCCGTGAAGTTGGGGGGCTTTTCCGTGGTTTGTGTTGCTTGGATTCCCGTGAGAATTTAATTATGTGGCTGTTTGGTTTCTCCTCTCATACCTATATATATGAGATGTTTTGTAATGTTTTAAAAAAGTGATATATTAATTTTTGAAAAGAAATCTGCGGATTTTCTTGGAAGAGCTTACGAGCTTCTTCTTCTTCTTCTTCTCATCTCCTCTAGGAAAGACTTGCGAGTACTTTCCACCCTTCTTCTCGGCTTCTAATTTCTTTCGTCTCTCCGCAAGTTTACACCTCACCTGTATCCTTCTTCTTTTGGAAAGCTTCTTTAGGGTGTCTTGGTTGAGTCAAGTTTGTAAGAGTCTTGTCTTGTTTGGGTCAAGTTTGTAAGTGTGTTTTTTATTTGAAATGTAAGAGTTTGTTCTTCTCTTTACTTAGTGTCTCTTGTTTTTTTTGAGGTGATCAAGAATTTTCTTGGGGTTCCTCTCCCCAGCCAGGGGATTTTTGCTCGCATCATTTTTGGTATCAGAGCAAGTTAGGAAGACCTAGGTTTTAATTTGGTTTGTCAAGTCAAGTGAGTCTTGTAAGTCTTATAAGTCTTGTGAGTCTTGTGAGTCTAAGTTTTTTAGGTTGAGTCTTTATTTGGGTCAAGTTTATCGTTAATTTTTTTTATTTGAGTCATTTAAAAAATGGAAAAAGACAAAAAGATTGAAGAAAGCAAGCCAGATGAAATTGAAGATCCTTTTTCAATGGATAGATGGATTCCATCAAAGTCGACAAATCCTTTGTTGTATGAACTGTACAAACTTCAATCATGGATGCACTTATGTACAGAAAGGTACATGAAGAAGAAGCAGCGTTTACAAGATTAATTTCTGCAAGAACGAGAAGAGATCCTGAAGAAATATGAAGAAAAGATCAAAGAGTTGGATGCTCCGTCTTCACCTCCTCAGAAGAAAACTAAAGCTAACTCATTGATAGATGAGTTCTCAAGAAGGGGAGTCTGACGTAGGCAAAGGGGGGCCAAATCAAACCCAAAAAAAAATTGGTTTTGATTTCCCTTGAGCTTACTAGCTCAATAAATTTTGAGCTGGAATTTAGCTCATTTATGAGCTGGTTTTTAGTTCATTTATTGAACTAAGAATTAGCTCATTATTAGCTAGGTTTTAGTTCATTAATTATCTTAATTATGTAATTTTTATTTATAGTTTTTTATCTCTTAAATTTTAGTTTGTCACTTGGAATTCCAAAATGTCATTTGGAATTCCTATGTTGGTTGTTTTCCGTGCTTGGCTCCTTTGCTTCCACGGGTGGCTGTTTCCGTGCCTTGGCTCCTTGGCTTCCTCGGTGGGCTGATGGTTTTCCGTGCTGGGTGGCCTTTCCCGTGCCCTGGTGCCTCGGTTTCGTTCTTGGCCTCTTGGGTTTCCGCGGCTGCCTCTTCGGGTTTTGGCTGGGC